GTAACCCTATCGTTCGCTACGCGGAGTGCTACCACTCCCAACACCAGCCACCGAAGGACCCAAAAAAGAGTGGAGAACCTTTAGCCAGAGCGCATTTGAGTTATACACAATGCCCCATGCTGTCCAATGGAATAAGATTAAAGGTCTTGAGAACATGGCCTATGAAGGAAGGCTGAAAGAATTGGGTTTGTTTCGTTTGGAAGAGAGAAGACTGAGAGGGGACATGATAGCAGTTTTCAGATATCTAAAAGGGTGTCATAAGGAGGAGGGAGAAAACTTGTTCACCTTAGCCTCTAAGAATAGAACAAGAAACAAAGGGCTTCCACTGCAGCAAGGGAGGTTTAGGTTGGACATTAGGAAAAAGTTCCTAACTGTCAGGGTGGTTAAACACTGGAATAAATTGCCTAGGGAGGTTGTGGAATCTCCATCTCTGGAGATATTTAAGAGTAGGTTAGATAAACATAGACAGTATTTGGTCCTGCCATGAGGGCAGGGGACTGGACTCGATGACCTCTCGAGGTCCCTTCCAGTCCTAGAATCTATGAATCTATAAGAACAAAAAGCATAAATAAATAAATAAATAAAAATAAAAATAAAATAAGAACAAAAAGTGCTCTTAATATACAAATGCATCAAAACAAATTAGGGGCCCTAGTTTACAAACAGGATTGGAAGGAAAGGGGATATAATATAGGGCTGATGGTGGTTATTCTAGAATAGCTTTGTTGGGGCAGGGCGGGGGACTTGTTGCTTAAGTGGAACATAAGTGGGACACAACAAACTGACGTGGCTCTCAGGGAGGTAGTTTGATGCTTTCAGAGCCTGATCTTGCAAACACTTGTGCATGTAAGTAACTTTACACAGTGAATTCCACTGAAGTGAGACTACCCACCCATGTGAAATTACTCATGTTTCCAAGACTGGAGGATTAATGTGCTAAGAGACAAGTACTGCAAGAAAAAAAACCATTGCAATTGTTACCCATGCTGGATCAGACTTAATTTAAGAGTGACACAAAGAAATACTGGTTTTGTTTAACAAACAACAAAAAAACCCACAATGCAGAATTGACTTGTGGAACTTACCACCACAAGATATCATTGAGGATAATTATTTAGTAGGCTCCAATAAGGTGTCTAAGCACTACTGCAATATGAATACTAAAACAAAGATAATGAGGAATTAGATATTTATATGAGTTATAAGAATATAATCCAGTCAAACCAGCTAGGATAAAAATGTGTAAATGACATCAGCTCTCATGATTTAGGACATAACCCAGCTGTTTACAGCCCAGGGTTGGGAAGACACTTCTTCTGTAAGAATGCTAGTATTTAGTTGCCCACTGTTAGGGTTTTATAAACGACTGGTCTAAATGGACCATTGTTCTAATCCGCTCTGACAATTCCTTTCTTTCTACGTAGGTCTGATCTTTATTCCCCTGACAACATCGAGCACTGAAAACCGATTCCTGTTGCAAATCTGGGGCCTCATCCAAAGCCTACTGCAGTCAGTGAGAGCCTTCCCATTGACTTTAGTGGGCTTGGGATCAGGCCCCAATTCAGGAACATGGCACTCAAAACAACAGGCGCCCTGATCACAAAGCCACTCGTAGCTTAAAAAGAAGGGAAATGCCCACAGCAAATTAACTTTCAGGAGGTTTTCCCCAGGCATGTGGCTTTTGGTATAAATGAGGTAAAACAGCATTCAGTTTTATTTCTTTTTCTTCCAACCACTCCAGAAGTTTCTAGTTCGTTTATGGAATGAAGTTGAGCCCTCCAGCACCCAAGATGTTACACCACTTCCCGGGGATATTTTCTAAACGCCGGGTAGCCTTGGGGGGAAAGCCTCCACTTTATATTTCCAACAGAATTCAAACCCAACAGGGGTTGGATTTTTAATTGAAATTCCCATCTGTCACCTCTACCAGGAGGAAATTGTTCTTTTCCTAACTTGGCTTTTATGCACACGTGAAAGGGTTTTGATCAGATAAAATACAGAACCTCACCCATCCTTAATCTGGTCCATTCAAAGTCAAAGACAACTGTAAAATAATGTCTACGTGCTACATGCAGAATAACGCATGCATCAAACCCACTGTGAACATTCTGCATTGCGTTGTCCCCACTCCTGCCTGCCAGGCTGGGGCCCCGCCTCTGAGGCACAGTTTACCTATTGTGCATGTCACAAACCCCTCTGGGGCTGTACATAAGAGCTGACATCACAGGAACAGAATACAACAACTCTCCAGAGCAGGGACTGAGCTTTGGTAGTTATATGGCCCTCCATTATCCGAACACCCTCCCGGGCGTTAGTGTATTTACCTTCACAAAACTCCCATGAGGCAGGGCAAGGTTGTTATCCCCATTGTACAGATGGAAAACTGAGGCACTGGGAGGTTAAGTGACTCATCCAAGGTCACACAGGAAGTCAAACTGAGCCAGGAACTGAACCCAGATCATCTTTTGAGTCCCAGGCTAGTGCCCCTAACCAATGGACCATACGTCCTTTTATCCTCTGTTCGTTAGCACAATCAAGACCTATTATTCTTATTGATGCCTCCAAGGCTATTATTATTGTTTATTTGTATGCATGTTGCACCAAGACCACACAGAGGATTTTGGGGACCTAGGGCAACATCTGAAAATGAGGGCTCCCCCCCTTTCCAAAATGACTGCTATGGAAACGAATACTCCCTCCTGAAATCAAGAAACCAAGGGGGCAAAACCAATGAGAGGGGAGGCCTGGGGAAAGGGGGGCACTGGGGAGTAAGCACGCCCTGTATTCACTCCGCAGTGGCACCTCCTGTCCTTGCAGGGCTGGGCATTGCAACCTGATGCAAGGGATCGCAGCGCAACTCAGGTTTGGCCAGGCTGCCCTTCCCTCAAATTCAATTTGGGGGCCCTGGGGCAAACTGCCCCTTTTGTCCTCCATCCCTTGCCAGGCAGCCCTGGGTTGCACCAATGAGGTCCCAACCGGAACTGGGACCCCATTGAACTAGGTACTGTATGGACACCTAGGCCAGGTCTACACTATGTACTTACTTTGGTAGAACTACGTCGCTCAGGAGTGTGGGAGGGGAAACAGAGGCATGGGGAAAGTCAAGGAACTTGCCTAAGGGCACACAGCAGGTCAGTTGCAGAGCTGTGGATACAACCCAGGGCTGAGAAGCTGCCCCAATGAAGCCAAGGGGAGTTTTGCCATTGACTTCACTGGTATCAGGATTTCACCCCAGATCTTCGGAGTCCCAGCCCATTCACCTATTCGGTCTAGGGGATTTGCTTGGCAGTAGGTGTTCTTGAACTTCCCTTGCCTTGACAAGAGAGAGAACTGATTGCTCGGATTCCTGGCAGTTCATTTGGATGAACCAATAAGAGCTTGGAAATCGAATGTTTTGCACCGATGCCGTAAGCAACACCTAGTGCAGTAACCAGAAGGCTAGGATGCTGCTGGGAACGGGCAGAACGCAGCCAAAATCCTCTGTGAGTGCACTTGTCCCAGTGGGTGAAAAGCATATGTTGGCTATAGGTGTCTGTGCCAGTATGAGCTGCGAGGGGAGCTCTGTGTGCATGAGAAGGAGAAAGAGAGAGAGAAAGTGGGTTCTTCTCGGCTATGCAAGAGAAATAGGTTTCTTTTCCCATCTCACTTTGCCCTGGAGCATTGCCGTCAGCTTTCCTCCGGCAGAATCACCCACCACCATCAATAATATGGACCACAGGGTAGTTTGTAAGTGACTCTCCTTCACGCCCTCTCTGGGTTTTCCA